TTTTATTAAATAACACTTAATCTAAATACAGAGACAACATCTTTGAACACAGAAGCTACACACTAATAATGCTGGGTTGTTTTAACCTAACATTGAGTAAACTATGAACAAACCCAATGTTAGTTTAATTTGTTCAAATACATTTAAATGACACTTTTTAACCCAACAGTTGGGTTTGTCCAAGTCTGACTCAACATTTGGTTAAAAACAACCCAGCAAGTCCAGAGCTTATTGTTATTGATATAAATGTTATCACTATTGGATATAATATCGCTCATCAGCCCAGCTCAGCTTCAACTGTATATCCGTCTGTAATGCTTGATCTAGGTTACCCAGCACAACACTGATATAAATGTAAAATGTGCATTGCTGGGTTATTTCTTCAAGTCGTTTTCAGGGTTTGTAGTGAAACATGTTTAATTCTGTGTGTGAATAATCCACCTGGGGCTGTTTTTATCAGCGCTGGGATGTCACCTCTTCCACCCCGCAGCTCTTCCCATCATTCATTCAGCTGATTTTCCAGAAACAGCCTTTTTCTTCCTCTCCCAGTCGTACTGAAGATCCAGCCCACACAGATGCGCCACACAAATGTGTGATTAAGGCTAATCTTCTGAAAACAAATGAAGCTTTTTAGGAATGATGTAACAAAGATACTCAAATAAAAAGCCAGTCGTCTTGTGTTTGCACAAACGGTAAACATTTATAAGGGTTTAAATGAGGGTTTGGGTGTTCATTTGTTTTGCTGCAGACAAAAGCCGCGAGTTAATGAGGAAACTAATATTTGTTATAAAGTAATGCTGAGAGATGTGTTTATTGTGGCGTCTGCATTGCATTTAAAATCCTTTCATGTAAATGGAGAGCATGCATGAGTGGAAATAACGTCAGTAATAGGTTGATGTTCCCTGATCATTCAGTCTATAATGCTTGGTCAAACTAAATAACTTATCCTGAGCTGTTCATATTACAATACATCAGAGATTCTGTTGGAAGTTGTGAGACGATCTTTTGCTGACAGTAATATAGCAAAGATTATTGAGTATTTTGTCTGTGATCCTTAAATACTCTAAAAATGCTGGGTTGTTTTAACTCAACATTGGGTTAAATATAGACAAACCCAACTGTTGTTTAAAAAATTCAATTTAATTTCACCCTGTTTCTCCACATTTGACCCAACATTGGGTTACAACAACCCAGCATTTTCCATTTAATATTTCATCAAATGACACTTAATATAAATTCTTCGAACACAGAAGGTATACTCTAATGATTACTGGGTTGTTTTGACCCAACGTTTGGTCAAATATGACCAAACCCAATCCTGTATTAATTTCAATTCAATTTAAATGACACTTTGTAACCCAACAGATGAGTTTGTCTACATTTGACTGATCATTTGGTTAAAATAAAGTGCAGAGTCTTTTAATATTTCACCAAATGACACTTAATTTAAATTCGAGGACAAAATCTTTGAACACACAGGGTTCAACGCTAAGGATTTTTTTCTACTGGTCCGATCCGGCAAGTGGTTTAGATTTTTACTTGCCCTGCCAAATTTTCACTGGCCTCACCAAGAAAAAAAGGGAAGTTAATAGCTATTTTTTAGCCACATATTTTAAATAATGTGTCAAAAATAAAGTCTGTGAATCTAGAATTTCAATACTTCAATACTTTTAATAATTACAATACTGTAAATAAAAGTGTTATGCAAACAAAAAGAGCAGTATGGAAAATGTGGAGGTATTTTATTGTGGTTTGAAATTATTTAACAAAAGGTAGCTGACTTGTCAAACTTATGGCAAACTCGCTCACTTAATTTTTATTTTGTCGTGTTGTTCCCATGTAAATGTCTACAGAAATTTTCTTTTAGCCTTATAATTTGATGTTGCTGCTATGTTGCTGTTTCTACGCTGTACTGGTTGTTACCAGGTTTAAAAAATATTAGCTCAAATCAATCAGATAAGAGAAACCGGAAAGCAATATGTTGTTTACGACATTACAGAGAAGGTAGCGCTTAAAGACTTACTTAAAGCACAAACTTAAAATGCACGCAGTTGACAAGTAGTCACAGACAAGTTAAATGTTAGTGACAGGGCAGCACTGTCCCAATCGGGCCAGTAATGATGCGGTCTACTGTCCCAAGTGGCTTTCACACTAGCCCTGGGCCACCGGGCAGTCCTTATTGTTGAGCCCTGACACAGAAACTACACTTTATAAAATGCTGGATTGTTTTAACCTAACCGTTGGGTCAAATGTTGACAAACCCAACTAAAGGGTTAAAAAGTGTCATTTAAATGAACAAATTAAACTAACAAGTATGAACAAACACCCGATTGGGAATTTTTTTTAATTACTTTTTTTTTAACACAAGGAGCATATTTGAACCACCATTTGGTGAAAAAAAAAAAAACTGTATTTTTATTGGAGTGCACTTTAAGTCCAAGGACATACTGGGTTGTATTTAAAAATACTGGGTTGTTGTAAGCAAATGTTTTGTCAAATATGAACAAACCCAATGGTGGATTAATTAAAATTCAATTCAAATGACACTATTTAACCCAACAGTTGGGTTTTTTCCACATTTGACTCACTTTTTGTGCAAAACAACCCAGCTACTTTTAGACGGTGAAGTCTTTTAATATTTCACCAAATGACACTTAATCTAAATTCAGAGTCAACATCTTTGAACACAGAAACTACACTCTTATAAAAATGCTGGGTTGTTTTAACCTAACCGTTGGGTCAAATGTAGACAAACCCAACTAATGGGTTAAAAAGTGTCATTTAAATTTAAATGAACAAAATAAACTAACATTGAGTTTGTTCATATTTTGACCCAACATTCGATTAAAACAACCCATCATTTTATAATGTGTAGTTTCTGTGTTCAAAGATTTTGTCCTTGAATTTAGATTAAGTGTCATTTGGTGAAATACTAAAAGACTCTGCACTCTAAAAACGCTGGGTTGTTTTAACCATATTTTGGGTCAAGTATGAACAAACAAGAAAACATTGGGAAAAAAAATTTAATTATTTTAACACAAGGACCATATTTGAACCACCATTTGTTTAAAACAACCCAGTATTTTTATTAGACTGCACTTTGTTCAAAAATTTCATCCTATGACTTAAGGAAGCTACAAACCAAATGTTGGGTCAAATATGGACAAACCCATGCTGTTTTGTTGAACAATGTCATGTCAATTTAATAATATTAATAAAAAAACAATGGGGTTTGTTCATGTTTGACCCAACATTGGGTTAAAACCACCCCACATTTTTTTTTATTTTTTAGAAATACTGGGTTGTATTTGAAAATACTGGGTTGTTTTGTCAAATATAGACAAACCCAACGTTGGATTAATTTCAGTTAAATTCAAATGACACTATTTAACCCAACAGTTGGGTTTTTTCCACATTTGACTCACTTTTTGTGTAAAACAACCCAGCTATTTTTAGACGGTGAAGTCTTTTAATATTTCATCAAATGACACACAATCTAAATTCAAGGTCAACATTTTTGAACACAGAAACTACACTCTAATAAAAATGCTGGGTTGTTTTAACCTAACCGTTGAGTCAAATGAAAACAAACCAAACTGTTGGGTTAAAAGCTATCCTTTAAATTTAATTGAACAAAATAAACTAACATTGAGTTTGTTCATATTTGACGCAATGTTTGGTTAAAACAACTCAGCATTTTATAATGTGTAGTTTCTGTGTTCAAAGATTTTGTCCTTGAATTTAGATTAAGAGCCATTTGGTCAAATATTAAAAGACTTCACACTCCGTTTTAACCAAACGTTGGGTCAAGTATGAACAAACACAACATTGGGAAATTTTTTTAATAACTTTTTTTTTTTAACACAAGGACCATATTTGCACCACCATTCTGTTAAAACAACCCAGTTTTTTTATTGGAGTGCACTTTAAGTCCAAGGATGGAGTATTTGAACAAAGAAGCTACAAACCAAATGTTGGGTCAAATATGGACAAACTCATGTTGTTTTGATAAACAATTTCATGTCAATTTATTAATAATAATAATAAAAAAACAATGTTGGGTTTGTTCATGTTTGATTCAACATTGGGTTAAAACAACTAAGCAGTTTTTGTTTAGAAATACTGGGTTGTTTTAAGCAAATTGTGTCAAATATGGACAAACACAATGTTGGATTCATTTTAATTCAATTGAAATGACACTATTTAACCCAACAGTTGGGTTTGTCCACATTTGACTCACTATTTGGGTAAAACATCAGGGTTATTTCATCAAATGACACATAATTTAAGTTCAAGGACAAAATCTTTGAACACAGAAACTACACTAAAAATGCTGGGTTATTTTAACCCAACATTTGGTCAAACTTTAACAAATCCAATGTTGGAAAATTTCAATTAAATTGAATTGAAATGACAGTTTTTAACCCAACATTTGAGTTTGTCTACACGCAACTTCTTTCCACACTATCATCAGTCAGTCTGCTTGATTTTGAAGCCAGATTTCTCTCAAACTTTAGCAAGTGAGCACGACTGTGTGCACAACAGATGGAATAAAGCTTTGCCCCAGCGGAGACGCAACACCAATCGCAAAAACAAGAGCGAGAAACAGAAATTAAACACAGCGTCAATAAGACAACAGATGTCAACCTGTGGGAGAGCGTCTTAAAAAGCGCTTCAAAACAGGAGGCCCATTCCAAATTATCACATACATCTCGCCACTTTATAAAAATACCCCTGCAGTCTCCTGAGGTTTACACTTCACTGACATCACCTATACACTATACAACTGCAGCTTAACTATGTTTATATGCAGTCAGAATTATTAGCCCCCCTGTATATTTCTTCCCCCACTTTCTGTGTAACAGGGAGAAGACTGTTTCAACACATTTCTAAACATAATAGTTTTCATAACTCATCTCTAATAACTGATTTGATTTTATCTTTGCCATGTCAGCTTGAATCGCATTGAATGTGCACTCACGCTCTGCGTCTTCCTGCAGTTCCACTACCATCCAAGCTGAACGGCTCCACGATCTCTGCTCTGTCCCTCAGTAAAGAAGGCCTGGGTCTGGGCGGAGTGTCTAATCCCGCAGAGGTGTTCTGCTCCGTCCCGGGACGCCTGTCGCTGCTCAGCTCCACCTCCAAATATAAAGTGACAGTAGGAGAAGTGCAGAGACGGCTGGCTCCACCCGAGTGCCTCAACGCCTCGCTGCTTGGAGGAGTCCTGCGCAGGTGAACAACGACAGCACACACAAATAAAAAAATCATAAGATATCCTATAATGCTGGGCTGAAATCTGCAGGCTTTGATCACTGGCTTGCACATACTACATACTTTTATACTACAAACTATATATATACTAATACTATAGGAATTTATTTTAAGTACTGCAGTGTTTTTGAACCAGGTTACAGTAACGTACTTGAAATGATCTGTTGTGGTGATTCTGTATTTGCTATGGCAACACAACAACTATAGTAACTGATCTGTTGCGTTGATTCTAAGGTTGCTATGGCAACACAACATATATAGTAATTAATCAGTTGTGGCGATTCTACAGTTACTATAGCAACACAACAACTATAGTGATTGATCTATTGCAGTGATTCTACAGTTGCTGAGGGAACAGAACAGCTATAGTAATTGATCTGTTGCAGTGATTCTACAGTTGCTATGGCAACACAACAACTACAGTGATTGATCTGTTGCACTGATTCTACAGTTGCTATGGCAACACAAAACTATAGTAATTGATCTGTTGCGGTGATTCTACAGTTGCTATGGTAACGAAACAACTATAGTAATTGATCTGTTGCGGTGATTCTACAGTCGCTATGGCAACACAACAACTATAGTAAATGATCTGCTGTGATGATTCTGCAGTTGCTATGGCAACAAAAACTATAGTAATTTGTCCATTATGGGAATTCTGTAGTTGCTATGGTAAAAACAACTATAATAATTGTTTTGTCGTGATGATTCTACAGTTGCTTTAACAACACAAGATCTATAGTTACTGATCTGTTATGGTGATTTCTACAGTTGCTATGGTAACACAACAACTATAGTAATTGATCCGTTGTGATGATTCTACAGTTGCTATGGTAGCACAACAACTATAGTAATAGATCTGTTATGGTGATTCTACAGTTGCTATGGCAACACAAGAACTATAGTAACTGATCGGTTATGGTGATTCTACGCTTGCCATGGCAACACAAACTGTATTTATTTATTGTGGTGATTTTGTAGTTGCTGTGGTAACAACAACTATAGTAATTGCTCTGTTGTGGTGATTCTACAGTTGCTATGGCAACAAAAGAACTATAGTAAATGAACGGTTGTGGTGATTATATAGTTGTTATGGTAACACAACCACTATAGTAATATAAACAAATGACCCGATACTTCAGTTTTCTATAAGGTATATTATACTACGCCAGAGTTTACTGTAGTAAAAACTAAGCATACTATAGTATTTATTACAGTTTATCCGTTCACTACTCTAACAAAGAGTTGTAATTACTATAATATATACAGTATAATCTACTTTACTATAGTATGGTTCTAAAAGACTATTACTATATGTTTTAATATAACCAGTGTTGGGGAAAGTTACGCAAAGTATTGCATTAATCTTGTTACTTTAAATTTTTTTTACTAAAATCTGTTACTTTTTAAGGAAAGTAATGTGTTAAGTTGCTTTATTTAGTTCACTTAATTAACATCACTCTAATTACAGCTTGATGTTTTGGGACAGAAGGGATTCTTATTATGTAATCCTAATCACATATACTCCTTTACAGTGTATGTGGTTTCTTTGTGTGTCCAAATTTGCCCTTATTGTTGTATAGCCTGAAGTATAAATTCCGTATGAATTTTAGTGACTCTCATACATTGTTGACAGATGTAAAACTCCACATGCAGTTTCTCATACTTTTGTTTTGGTCGTCGTACCAGCCCAGCATTTTCCAGAGTGTAGTATGGGAAAAGGAATACTATGGCAGTCAGTAGTGATCCTCATTCTGGAATTAATCTTTTATTTTTCATATCTGTTCTCCCTCAGAGCCAAATCAAAAAACGGAGGCCGCTGTCTTAGAGAACGGCTGGAGAAGATCGGCCTCAACCTGCCGGCCGGCCGGAGAAAAGCAGCCAACGTCACACTCCTCACAGCGCTGGTGGAAGGTACATTAATGCATTTGGCAGATGATTGTATCCAAAGCGAATTACACTGTACACATTTACTCACTACTTGCTTTGAATGGGAATCGAATCCACAACCTTGTGAGCGAAATGACTTCAAACACCCAGCAGGCACAAGACATCAACATGGCGTCAGATTAACGCTGTATCTTAACGTCATGGGGACGCTGCATTTTGTTTGGAAAAGAAAATCAGGTTGACGTCAGAACTCAACGTCAGGCCAACGTCAACGTCCGACCTAAAACCAACCAAATATCAACGTCTAATGATGTTACAGCTTGACGTTGTGTGGACGTTACCACTATGACGTTTATTAGATGTTAGATATTAGTTGCTATACCTGATGAATACATGTCAGTATGTGACATCAATATGATGTTGGTTTAAGATGTTGGATTTTAATCACGTTCTAACAACCTATAACCAACCAAATATCAACGTCTAATGATGTTACAGCTTGGCGTTGTGTGGACGTTACCACTATGACGTTTATTAGATGTTAGATATTAGTTGCCATACCTGATGAATAAATGTCAGTATTTGACGTTGGTTTAAGATGTCGGCTCGATGTTGGATTTTGGTCACGTTCTAACAACCTAAAATCAACCAAATATCAACTTGATTTGACGTCATTATTGGACATCAAAATAACGTTATCCTTAGACGCTGGCTAGACATTGAATTTTGGTCACCTGACAACCTAAATCTAACCTAATATTAACATCTTATGATGTTGTGTGCCTGCTGGGCAAGAACTAAATGCACTACAGAATGTTACGTTTACACACACATCCACAAATGACATCAGCTTTGGAAAGCTTAATACTCACTACTCTTAAGTACTTTAGAAAGCTCTACTTTTTACTCATACTTTAGAGTAAAAGTATCTGCTGTAAATATTACTCACTCACACTACATTTTTAGGCAAGTAATGGTGCTTTTACTTGAGTATGTTTATTCAGTACTCTCTCCACCTCTGGTCGCGAGTCACTGGAATTGTTATTTTAGGGTCACAGGCTGAAAAGGTTGGGAACCCCTGCATTAGAGGATGCATATATTTACACACTGCTGACACAAAACAGGGTTTAAATCATAATAGTTTAATAATTAATCTCTAATAACTGATTTATTTTCTCTTTGCCATGATGACAGCACATAATATTAGACTAGATATTCTTCAAGACACTAGTATTCAGCTTAAAGTGACATGTAAAGGCTTCACTAGGGTAATTAGGGTAAAGTTAGGGTAATTAGGCAAGTCATTGTATAACAGTGGTTTGTTCTGGAGACAATCCAACACTAATATTGCTTAAGGGGGCTAATAATTTTGATTAAATAATTGAAAACTGCTTTTATTCTAGCCGAAATAAAACAAATAAGACTTGCTCCAGTAGAAAAAATATAATAGGAAATACTGTGAAAAACTCCTAAATCTGTTCAACATCACATTGGGGAAATATTTGAAAGAGAATAAATATTGCGCTCATGATTTTGCCCACGACTGTATTTTGTCGGTAGACATCAATATAGCAGATTTATTAACACTCCCCAGACGTCACTAATTTACAAGCCCAGGCTGTAATTTCTGCATCATTTAATAAAAAGCAGACACCAGCACATTATCAGATCAGCTCATATACTTGCTGCACTAATTGTCTCCAACACTGCACACACACACACTACATTATCAGTCACTTAGGTAAGCAGGCTTATAACGAGGATGTGAAGCGAGTGTTAGCTTAAATTTATAAGTGCCTAAGAAGTCATTTTTAAAGCCTATTATCACCTCCAGCTCTCAGCCGGAGTGTTTTACAGTCTCGATGTTTCTCCTCAGGTGAAGCGGTTCATCTGGCGCGAGATTTCGGGTATGTTTGTGAGACTGAGTTCCCTGCGCGGGCGACAGCAGAGTACTTGTGCCGACAGACGGAGCCCGATCAGCTGCCCACCAGACGCAGCATGCTGCTCGCTACCAAGTGAGTACTACATAGGGGAAAGTTTTATTACAGTGTAACCTTTTGCTACCCTTTTTGTGCAATTTTAATTTAATTTTGTAACTTATAAACTTATGAAGCCGAGGATTATACCAGCGACCCACTGACCTAGCTGTGAGGCGACAGCACTACCTACTGCGCCACTGCCTCGCCAGGCAGAGCTGAGAGAAAACAAAACAATAGTGGCTGGGTTTTAAAAAGGGGAGGGGCTACACTATGTCCCGCCCCCTCTATTCATATTTACGTCAAATAAAAATGCACATTTAAAAGCACTTCATGAGACATTTAAAACCCACATAGACCTTTTCTACTGTTAGTTTTTTGCAGTGAATGTATTCGTTTCCTCTGGCAAACATACACTGTAAAAAAAATCGTAAAAAAAAAAGGTCAAATGACTGGCAGCTCCGGCTGCAAAACAAAAACCATAAAATTACGGTAAAATTTCTTTGTTGAAATAAAGTGCAAAAACTGATAAATCTACTGATATTTTCATTAAAATGTTTACAGAAAAACACTGTTATTTTGCAGATATTTTCTAGATTATTACGATCAAATCTATTTAATAAAGTTACACAATAAGAGTTTTACAGAGAAACACTGTTATTTTACAGACTTTTCCTAGATTATTATGATCAAACACCATCAATAAAGTGACTGCACAAAAAGTTCAAGAGAAACCAATGTTATTTAAAAGAATTTTTCCTAAATCATTACGATTAAACATCTTTAATAAAATGCCAAAACATGCTCATGGTCATAATTTAACAGTTTTATTTTGGATCAAAAAAGTTAGGAAGAAACAACAAACGAGATACAACTGATTAAAATTCTCACAACTAACATTACAGTTACATTTTATTGAATAGTATTCCTGTAAAACATGTAGAGGTTATATGAAATGATTCAGTTCCAAATCTTAAATTAAATAGAACTGTAACGTGAAGGGGACCCTGACAATGGATGGCAGATCCAAATGCAGGTTTATTACACTGAGATGGTCAGGAAAGCAACAGTCAACAAAGGGGCAAACAGATGTATGCAGGGAATCCAGAGTCATGGTAAAATAACAAGCAAATGATCAAATGACGCAGCAAACAATGTAAACAATTAACAAACAAAGCAAAAGAAGAAAACGCGTCATAATTTTCACAATAGCCGTATAACAAGACTAAGCAATTGGTGCGTGCGTCTGTGCTGCTTTTAAAGTCCATGTAATCAGTTCATAACGATCCTCTGACTGTGTGTGTGCAATCAGCAGAATCTGGAACAGGTGCATGTGAGCGCTCTTAGTGTGTAACTTTATTGTATGAATTTGATCGTAATAATCTAGAAAATATCTGCAAAATAACAGTGTTTTTCTGTAAACATTTTAATGAAAATATCAGTAGATTTATCAGTTTTTGCACTTTATTTCAACAAAGAAATTTTACCTTAATTTTATGGTTTTTGTTTGGCAGCCGTAGCTGTTTTTTTTTACGATCTTTTTTTTTATTTTACAGAGCATGTAATTACAATTTATTACTTTAATTTTATGTAATTTTAAATGTACTTAAAAAAACAGGAAAAAAACTGTGTAAATAATACATAACTTTTATTGTACAAAACAAATTGCTGTAATTTGTCATTATTTAAATAGTACATACAATAACAGTCAAACTGCTAATTTACAGACATTGTTTGTAATTTTTACGAACTTTTGAATATAATTTCAAATAACTGAAAAAAATACTGTATAAATAATACTGTAATTTCCCTGTATAAAAAACAGAAATGTCAGTAATTTGTCTATAATAATAAAGTACCTAAAATGAAAGTCAAACTGCTCATTTAGAGAGAATATTTGTCATTTTACAAAGTTTTGAATACAAAGTGAAATGACAAAAAATTACTGTAAAAAATTTAGAGATTTTTTCTGTAAAATTAGGGTTTTTTTTTTTTACAGTGTACCCACATCACATGACATGCTCACCACTAGTGTTGGGAGAAAGTTACTCTTGAATTAATGCATAACAATATTGAGTTACTCCCCAAAACAATAACTAGCTGTGGTACTTTAGTTACTTTTTATGATAAGTAAAGCATTACATCAGGGGTGTCCACACTTGGTCCTGGAGGGCCAGTGTCCCTCCAATCCTAATCAAACACACCTGAATAAGCTAATCAAGCTCTTACTAGATATACTAGAATCTCAAGTAGGAGCTAAACTCAGCAGGACACCGTGATCCGAGTTTGGACACCCCTGCATTACATTTCTTTTACATTACTTTCTCATTACTACTTTTTCTTATCATTATTTTGTTAATAGAGGAGCTCTGCAATGAAACACACACTGTATAACCATCTCAACTTACATCAATCATATTAAACTCTGTACATCTTCTTGAAATCTGATATTAAAAATAAGGCATTAATATTTGTATGACTTTTTGACATGCGTTTGTTTACCGTGTAATATTGTTGTGTTATTGTAATCCCCAACTCACCACTGATTGTGTGTCTTCAGGGAGATCTGCAAGGAGTTTGTGGACCTGATGTCCCAGGATAGGTCTCCGCTGGGGGCCAGTCGCCCGACGCCCTGCCTGGAGCCCGGAGTGCAGAGTAGTTTGACCCACTTCAGCCTCCTGACCCACGGATTCGGGACCCCTGCCCTGTGCGCCGCGCTTTCCGCCTTCCAGAGCTACTTACTGGAGGCCCTAAAACTGCTGGACAAAGGAGAAAACGGAGGAAAAAACCACCACGACAAGGAGCTCAAGCACCGCAAATAAACAATCAAGCACTTTTTGGAAGCGTGTGTGTATTTATGCGCGAATGTGTGTGTTCCTCACCTGTACGGACTGGTTGAATTCGTCTCTGAAATCCCTGTCAAACTTTGCTGACGGACTCACGAACTCTGCTGATGGAAAGCCAATCAAATGACTCAACAGACGGTTGGGAAAGCAATTCGCTGTGCTGACGAAGCAATTTGGAAATTGTCATTTTGTACTTCATGTTGTATGTTTATATTATCAATGTCGATTCTTGTTATTCTTATTGGCGTATTGCAATGTAAATGTAATATATTATTAAACTAACAATGAATTCAGATGCTTAATCGTGAAATATGACTTTGTTTTACGATGCGGGAAAGCCAACGGCATCTTACGACGATTCCAATGCTATCTCACGCCAACTCGTAACGCCTTCCCACTGCATACAACAAACGACAAGCGACAGACTGGAAGTCATTCGTTTACAATGGAGACTAGTCAGAGAGCTGCGTAGATTTCCGATCATCTCCGTATGCAAAAAATTCAGATCCGATTTGAGCTGTGAATTCGTTAAAATATTTGAACTCCTGCAACTAGATCGTATGCGACGGGCCGACCAGATGTGATGTATTCCAGTGTTTGCCAAGCAGATCCGTGCGAATGAGATTATAAACAGGAGCTATTTTCGTTTATTATTTTTGGAATCAGAAAAAGTGTACATTAAAAAAACAATTTTTATTTTTAAATGAGTAATAAAAAATAAAAAAATTTTATCTGAAAATGAAAATAAATATATGTTTTTAGATTTATTTTCGTCTCCACCTTCCCTCAAATTTTTTGCGAAAATCAGTTTCTAGTATTTATTTGTTCAACCATAGTGAACGCACGGAGAATAAAGGCTCTTTTTGCACTTTATTTTCAAGGCCACAAGAATCAGCGTCTCTCACATGATGCACGACAACACTAAAAATTGCCACAAGGGGGCGTATTTTGACAATCGTGTCCAAATGTCGTGTGCAGTGGAAAGGCGAATTAATCCGTACAATCTCATTCTTACAATCTAGTATGATTTGCTCCTCCCCCAATATTGGTTGGGTTTAAGGTTGGGGTGGGGTTGAGTGCCACGCCTACTTTTAAAAATAGTTCATTTTTCATACAACTGAACCTCGCATGAATTAACTGACAAAACTTTAAATAGTTAAGTTTCTTCGTGAGAGCAGGCTGGCGATTGGTAAATTTTTTGATTTAGTGGCTAATTTCGATTTAATTTGTATGATCTTGTTTGTATATTTTATTGTTTAATTTTATAGTTGTACATTTTACTAAATCTTTCCCAGAGATAAGTTGTGGCTGGAAGGGCATCCGCTGTGTAAAAATGTGCTGTAAAAGTTGGCGGTTTATTCCGCCAACCCCGGATTATTAAAGGGACTAAGCCGACAAGAAAATGAATGAATGAATGAATTTTGCTAAATTGCCAATTAGGGGTGGGGTTTGAGGACACACCTCCTTTTAAATATTGTATTTTTACGAAATCAATTCGTACGATTTAGCCGATTTTCTGACAATACATAAACTGTTCACATTTTCTTATGAGATCAGGCTGGAAAAATAGATCTACTATGATTAATTTACTTATTAATAAACAGCAAGGAATAACAAATCAGCATAAACCACAGAAGCCACTGTGTTTGATAATTCGTTCAGTTTAACTATTATGATAAGAAAATACCAGTTTACAACATTAAGCAATGTAAACTGCTGTTTATTCATTCCTGATTATCAAGGGTCTCCACAGAGGAATGCACCACCAACTATTCCAGCATATGTTTTATGCAACGGATGTCCTTCCAGCTGCAACCCAGTACTGGGAAACACCCATACACAGTCACATCCACACATTTAGTTCATCAATTCACCAATAGCGCATGTGGTATTCCAATCATATGAAAGCAGAGGCTGGGGCTGCGTCTGAAACCGCCTACTACTCAGTAGGTATTGCATTTGAATTTAAACGTACTACTCGGCCGTTAGAAAAGTACGAAAAGTACCTGCATCAGTTGCGTCGCTTCACTCCCATTCATGACTTCTCTCACAGGACATCAAAGGGATAGCGCAGCGTGCAAGGGATGCACACTCCAGAATCTTGCCGGAAGTAGTAAGTCATCCGGGTATTTCTCGCATGCTGATTTTCGAACTCTATGAATTTCGGACATACAACTCGGCTCGCAGACGGATTTTAGCGTACTATATAGTTTGAAAGTATGCGGTTTCGGACGCAGACAGGGTTTGCAGTGTTTGTGTTGTCAAGAGAACAAGGGAGACTTTTGAAGATGGAGGAGAGACTTGTGGTTGCTGTTGTGAGTTATCCATGCAGTATGACTTCACAAATCTTGAATATCACAATATTATAAGATATTAAAGTTATATAATATCAACAGCAACACTCTCGCAAAATATCCGGCTGAGTCAAACATTGGCTAGCGATATAAAACAGCGCACCGCGCTACTTTTTTTCTTGTAAACAAAAAGTTAACGTTTAAAGGGTCACGAAACACCAGAACACATGTGTTGAGCTGTTGACAGTGGTATATGTGTCCCACACTGCTAAAAACATTATTAGGACACCTATATTACTAAAAAGTGTAAATTGGTTGTTTTTGTGTTATTTCAAGCAAATTCGTACTTCCGGTTTAAAACGAATTTTTGAATCTGCATCACGGTCATGAGATAATAGCGTGTATTCCAGCGTGCAGACTGGACGTCTGTACCAGAGTGTGTCTTATAACGTCTTACAGTGTGATACATTAATGCATGAGTAAGGCTTGGTTCAAACCAATCAGCGCGCTCTATTGTGCAACTTCATTAATATTCATTACTGTCACAGTGTTTAGACGACAGAGACGCCACGTTGTGTTGGCAAAACAAGCGTGAAGTGTTGCTTTTATAGTTTGCTGCAGTGAAGTTTTGTTTTCATTTTCCCTCTGTGAGAGCGCAGCTGGAGTCACGTGTGGATTAACAGTGTACGCGACGCGCGACAACAATAACTTACGTGTCTAAGGAGGAACATTGTTTACCTGAGAGCTGTTCTCATCTGCAAACGCTGAGATCGGATTCGCTTGTAGTATTCTCTTAATAAAGACGCGGCTCTAGTTGCTGGTGATTGTCCTGTCTCTACAGATTTGGTAAGTGAGCGACCAGTGCTCTTTGTTTATTCAGTTTGTTCGTATCGAACAAACTATTGCACCGAGTGTAAACATGTTAGCACCACAACCAAACTTTAACCTCGTGTAGGATTTTCAGCGCATTTAGTGACCGGAATAACACACGCGGCTTTCTGACACTACCTGCCGTGTGCATCTAAGTTTCCGGGAAATGCTGAGGTTTTTTTCTCTCATTCGCCGTGCGGTATCAAACATTGCATGAAAAATACACGCTTAGAGCAGTTCCTCGAATCAAATATCTCGTTTGTTGTGAGGGACATGAATGAATTCCCTGAATGAAAGAGCCAAACTGCAGTTAAAGTCCACCATTTAATAATTTGGCAAATAATTCGACTACAGATGTCCATGTAAACACAGTCACTTTCTCCCCTCTGTGTGTATTTTGACTCTAAAACTCAGCGCGCCCAAATAGACACTCCCACACCATCCCTTTCTTCCTCCGACACTCCCCCCTAAACAGAGCTGGACACGCCCCCTTTTCTGACTTTTTCCAAAGTAGAGGTGTGAAAACACCCTGCTGAAACGAGCGGGTTTCATGCCCCTTTAACCTTGTTCACATTTCACTCGGCGGCCATCTTTGAAACGTCTCTCGGCCAGTATGCTCGGGCATTCTGAATGAATATGAAAACATCAAATTCTCCCAAATTGCTTACCAAATTTACTATAAAATGTCATATTTGGTAGCACCAATAAAATAAAACAACATCTGTCCCTTTAGTTTAATTTCAAAACGTTCGAATCACATGAAATCTGCAGAAACTCACGTCTGGTCCGAGCCACTGCCCCATAGAATCTTCAGTCTATATCGACCACTGATTGGTGCCAAATTGACATGATGATAATTCCACCAATCAGAGAATGGCGACAAGTAAAGCGCGCCAAAAAGATCTGCAGACGTGCTAAATCATTACTTATGATAAAAATTATAAAACATTAATCACAAACTACAGAAAACGCCTAATTTACTGATATATTTAGATATTTTAACACAGCTACTTTTCTACCCAACTGCCTTGCAAATTCGGACTTGTTGGTGCGCTTCATATCTGGCGTTATTACAAAATTAGCGTGATCCAAATTGAAGCCCAAGGGGGGTGTTTGAGAGTTCCAGCCTCATTTGCTGAAGGCAGGGTGACATTAACCGGAGAGAGAGCTGGATGTGGATGCAGCAGCAGAAGCGGCGGAGATAAAGCAGTGGTGACCCCGGAGGCCCTGCACTCAGCGCGGATAAACAGGCCTCCTCTTCGCCATCTGTCACCCAGGCTCCGGTGTCTGCTCGCGGGCTCCGGTATACCCCCCCCCCCCCCCCCTCTCCCGCAAGTCCCCCGTCCCGGGTGTGAGCGCCGCTCCGCCGACACTCCGCGGGGTCTCGGTCTCCGCCCGCGGGCGAACATATGCTACTCGTCCCCTCAGATTCCGGTGTGTTCGGGAGAGAAGCGATTGTTTAATGTTTATTAATCACCTGTCTGCGCGGGAGAGAGAGTGTGCGCGCAAAAACACTTGTGTACAAATCAGCGAGGAAACAAGTGTACATCCAAAGACAGAACAAGTGTGCGTCTCTCAACCCTTCTCTCTCTTTAAATCAATCTTTATAGTTCTCTCTATTTTTAACTCTCTCTAATTCCATGTCTCGTTTTTAACTCCTTGTTTTACCATCTCTCGCTCTCCATTTCTCTCTTAACTCAATCTCTCTCCTTTTAAATGTCTTTCACATCATCTTGCTCTATTTGTTTCTCTTAAGTCTTGACTCTCTTCTTGTCTAAAAGCCCAAACTCAGACAACAAGCACTCACTTTATTATTTTAGGTCTGTTAGGATTACCTAAATGATTTACATTTGCTAAATCACAAAATGAGAGAATTTTTTTTAGAGAAATTGTTATTTTTACACACATTTCCTTGGTATTCTTTAGCTTTGCTTTTAAACTGTATAACTTTGGTCAAATGTTTTGGGTCTCCTTCCACAAGCTTCTCACAATAGTTTGCAGGAATTTTGGCCCATTTCTCCTGACAGAATTGATGCAACTCAGTCTCTGAGCTCGCACTAGCTTTTCAACTCTGCCCACACATGTTCTATAGGATTGAGATCAGGGCTTTGTGATGGCCACTCCAAAACATTCACTCTGTTGTCCTTAAAGCACATTTGAACTCATTTGGCAGTATGCTCAGGGTCATGGTCTGTCTGGAAGAGCCATTTGTTGCCAAGTTGTAATGTCCTGGCTGATGTCTTGAGATGTTGCTTCAGTATTTCTCCATAATGTTCTGTCTTCATGATGCCATCTATGCTGTGAAGTGGACCAGTCCCTCCTGCAGCAAAACAGCCCCACAACATGATGCTGCCGCCCCCATACTGCACAGTTGGGATGGTGTTCTAGGCTTGTGCACTTTCCCCTTTGTCCTCCAAATGTAACACTGCTCATTACAGCCAAACAGTTCAATCTTAGCTCCAGCAGAGCACAGGACATGTCTCCAAACATGAGTCTTTTTCCCAGTTTAATTTAGCTAATTGTAATCTGGCAACTTTAAAAACGTCTGATTCGCTTTAAAGGTTGAATTATATACAATGCAAAAAATAAATACATTAAAAGTAAACTGTACACTTGCAGAGACGATAAAGTCATCGGTTGTGAAATTTCGAGAAAGCGTTTTCTTCCTAAAATGCACTACCATATTTACTAAATTATGAGCACTGCAGTTATACTCAATTGCTTGTGATGCATCATTTAAAGGGAACACAATATGCCAGAGTGCTCAAAATATAAATCAATAGGGAGCACACAGAGCTGTATAAAAAGTTTTAAACTGATCTCCTTTAAAGCTGTTTAACTCTTGTGTTCCATTCAGGGGTGTGTTTCCCAAACAATGATGTAGCTCACGGATGAACTATCATAGTACGATATATCGTTTGGGAAAAGAACGATTTAGTGACGAGTGTTTCCCAAAACCCCTAGTTCAACACAATCTCACGGCAATTCGTAACTTTGATTTAGTTTAGTTTGATTTAATTCGTATATGAATTCGTACAATCTAATTTGTACAATTTAGTATGATTTGCTCATCAGCCAATGACGGTTGGGGTTAGGTGCCACGCCCCCTTTTTTAAAATCGTACAAATTCATACGAATTAGCCACTAAACTGACAAAACGTAAAATACGTCCGTTTCCTCGTGAGATCAGGCTGCCCTAGTTTCTCTGCGCAGATCCATCCTTTGAACCACGTTAGTTATACAATGTAAAACGCCCATAATGATGCTCCAATGGAGTGGAGTAACTACTTTAGAGAAGAAGCTCATCATTTATTTGTGCAAATTATATTGTTTTACAAGCACATGCATTCAAAAAAAAATCCAATATTAATTTTGGTTAAAACATGCACTGGCTTTCTATATTAACTGAAATATATGGAAATGGCAGATATAGAGCCTGTGTATCCTTTACTAATATGATTGAGTACATTACATAGTCTATTCAAAATTATCCGAAAATCACTTACAAAAGCTCACACTATTCTAATATCATATAAATAAAGAATGAGGCTATTTATTAAAAACTGAAATTTAATATTTATTATTTATTAGAAGTGAAAAAAAATCATACTTTAATATTAATAATATGAATGATGATGATTGTTATTATTATTATGAAGTAGAATATTGTTTATTTATTCTTTTAAAGTCTACTTTTTTCAATTTGACATGTAAACCACAGCAGAAAGTTCTACTCAGCAGGTCATATACAGTACAGATAATAAATAACCTGCAATAAAATAAAATCATTAACATATGCTGTGACGTAACATGAATTCCATTATTAAATAATAGGTCACCTATAGCATTTGTCAGGGGGCTGTGTTCAAATTGACATCAATGTTTTCAAAGTGCACTGCGAAGGGAGCACAATTGTAAATGAAGATCGCTAAAACTGAGCTGTAAAAATAGTTTGAAAGCAAATTACACCTAAGAGAGATGACCTTAATGCTTTATTTTTAATCATTCCAAGTTTAAATGTTAAAATGTTCTAAAGGAATAGGGCATAGGGGGGATAATTGCGAATAGAACACAGTCAGGAGCTGTTTCTAACTACAGCTCCAGAGGTATAGTTGCAAGCGGACAAGTTTGCGAATGTTCGTTGGAACGATGGATTTGGGAAACGGCAAATCAACAAACTATGTTTGTGACGACAGAACTTGCGACCTTAGTTGGCTAATGATGGTTTTCGAAAATGCACTTCAGATTGACTCCCCTTTGGCTATGTTGGTGTGTTTTTCTCCATTGACTTCCATTATAATCACATTTTTTAATTGCAAAGCCATGACAGCATATGATCAAGCATTCTTGATTGTTCTGATTCACATTAATGAATTTCCCTGTTGGACAGAGATCAAATTTGTCACTTTTACTGTTGGTTGGACCACTGCAGAACTATTCAGTCAAAATAAAAGCAGAAGAATACTGTACATGGGGTCAACGTTTTTATTAGAGCACAGAGGGTTATTTTAGTACAAAAGAGAGTGAAAAACAGCAGCGGCTCATTTGCGGCCCACAGGAAGCTTCTCCATGTCGTGAATGCCGTCTTTATCGATCAGACGAACGGTGAACGAAGGAAGATTCAGAATGAAGCGCTTGTTGAGCTGTCGGAGGATAAGATCAATGATTAAAACATCAGAAAACATGATCAAGACAATAAACCCTGCTTACCCCACTGCTTTATTTGTTTTGGAAATAATTACTTTATATACTACTGATACATAATTCATTGAGTTACTTGTTTATCTACGCATTGATCTATTAATTAGTAAAAATGTATACATTCAACCGGCCACTTTATTAGGTACACCTTACTAGAACCATGTTGGACCCCTTTTGCCTTAATCCTTCATAGACTCAACAAGCTACTGGAAATATTCCTCAGAGATTTTCCTCCATATTGTCATGATAGCATCACACAGTTGCTGCAGATTTGTCGGCTGCACATCCATGATGCCAATCTCCCGTTCCACCACATCCCAAAGCTGCTCTATTGGATTGAGCTCTGGTGACTGTGGAGGCCGTTTGAGTACAGTGAACTCATCGTCATGTTCAAGAAACCAGTCTGAGATGATTGAGCTTTATGACATGCTGCGTTATCCTGCTGGAAGTAGCCATCAGAAGATGGAGACACTGTGCTCATAAAGGGATGGACATGGTCAGCAGCAATACTCAGGTAGGCTGTGGCGTTGATGCTCAATTGGTACTAATGGACCCAAAGAAAATCTCCCCCACACCATTACACCACCACCACCAGCCTGAACCGCTGATACAAGGCAGGATGATCCATGCTTTCATGTTGTTGAGGCCAAATTGTGAGCCGAGCATCCGAATGTGTCAGCAGAAATGGAGACTCATCAGAGCAGCAACGTTTCTCTAATCTTCTATTGTCCAGTTTTGGTGAGTCTGTGTGAATTGTAGCCTCAGTTTCCTGTTCTTAGCTGACAGGAGCGGCACCCGGTGTGCTCTTCTGCTGCTGTAGCCCATCCGCCTCAAGGTTGGCCGTGTTGTGTGTTCAGAGATGCTCTTCTGCAGAGCTCGGTTGTAACGAGTGCTTATTTGAGTTACTGTTGCCTTTCTATCAGCTGGAACCAGTCTGGCCATTCTCCTCTGACCATCAACAAGGCATTTGCACCCACAGAACTGCCGCTCACTGGATATTTCCTCTTTGTCGGAGCATTCTCTGTAAACCCTAGAGATGGTTGTGCGTGAAAATCCCAGTAGATCAGCAGTTTCTGAAATACTCAGAGCAGCCCGTCTGGCAGCAACAACCATGCCACGTTCAAAGTCACTTAAATCCCCTTTCTTCTCCATTCTGATGCTCGTTTTGAACTGCAGCAGATCGTCTTGACCATGATTACATGCCTGAATGCATTGAGCTGCTGAAATGTGATTGGCTGATTAGACATTTGCATTAATGAGCAGTTGGACAGCTGTACCTAATAAAGTGGCCGGTGAGTGTATATACACTGCAATATATACAAATTCGAGGTTTTGACTTGTTTCTAGTTCAAATTTCAATTCTTAAATAAAGAAGCATTTTCAAGGCAAGGAGGGCGCACGTTCAGCTGTACGTTCACACAGAAACAGTGACCTAATATTGCAATTATACTACTGTATTATTTAGTTAATTGTTAAAAGCTGCACTAGTGTAATTCTCTAATCGTTCATAATTGGGATTACACACTAATGATGTGCTTCATGTTCAGCTGTGATATACAGAGAGAGAGAGAGACTGACCTCCTCTAAACACTTCTTGAGCAGATCCACAGCCTCCTCACGGGTCAGATCTGAGAGAAACACCACAAAGGTTAATGAAATGATGAAATGAGAAGATTCAATCAATTAAAACCTGCATTAGGGCTCATTCACAGAGAACGCATTTCAGTGATGATCAACATCAACAGCCTGAGGTATCAAGACATTTGTGCTGCCCATTACATTACAAACCACAGGAGAGGGACAATTCTCCAGCAGGATAGCGCTCCTGCTCATACTTCAGCCTCCACATCAAAGCTCCTGAAAGCAGAGAAGGTCAAGCTGCTCCAGGATTGGCCAGCCCAGTCACCAGACATGAACATTATTGAGCATATCTAGGGTAAGATGATGGAGGTGCTGAAGTTGAATCTTGATGAACTCTGGGATCCTGCTGAACGCTTTCTTCTTCATTCCAGATGACTTTATTCATCAGTGATGTGAGTCATGTCAGAGATGTATGGATGCAGTCCTCCAAGCTCATGATGGAGTCAGACACAATATTCATTCTGTCTCCACTGCAGCAGTACTTTATATTCTATACTGGACATTATTTCTGTTCAGTGATGACACTTTAGTCTGAGCAGAGTCAGAGCGCACTGTCCTCATCAAATCAGTCAACATCAAGACATGATCAGATTTATTGAGCTCAAATCAGCAAAATCTAGAGGCCTTCACCTTTCATAGAGACACTTCTGACACCAAATCAACAACTAGAAGTCAAGGTATTATCTGCTGATCCTAAAACTTGGATACGCCACAACACTTTTGCCAGGTAGTGTATGCATTGTTTGTATATTGTATCTTAATTGTTGTGTGTATGTTCGCTGGACCAAATTTGTAAGTCATTGTGTTTAAATGTTTACAAAAACCAATACGTTATAATAAATAAAATAAATCAACATGAGATACAGCATGCATGAATTAATTAATAAATATATAACATTTAAAAACACAAATAAATGAATGCATGATTCAGATACAATTTTTAACGTCAGGGCATGATCAAAACTCTCAATTATTTACTGCTGATGCTGAATATCTCCTTGAGCTTCATAAAACAAACTCTTCTGCAGTCATTTAAATGAAGCGAACATCCCCTTTAGACATTACATGTTGCATTATAAGTGAAAGTGTGTATGGACCTGGTCTGTAGTATCGGTCCAGGATGGAGAGCGTGAGGAAAGCTCCGTATCCGTGAGCGGCGAACGGGGCTTTGGCGAGAGCTGACAGGTAATCCATGTAGTAAAGGCCGGGTCCATCGGTCTCATCGTACCCCGCCAGCAGCAGATTCACATGATATGGAGTCTGACAGGAACAAACAGTCATGTTAAAATCACTACAGTATAACCTCCAAAGATGAAGCTGCATGCAGGTATATTTAGCAGACAGTGCTTTATGATGCATTCAAGATACAGAATTACATGCCAACAGGCGCAATAATATTACGCAGTGCCTGAAAATAGTCCCAGCACTGCCAGTTAGAGTGTGTGATATCATTGCGCTGCTTTAGAAGTGATATGGCAGGAAAGTTCCTTGATTATTACGCCAGAATGTATTTATAGTTCCTCTAGTCACATCAGCCTTTAAAGGCTTAACTAGGTTAAAATATGGTAATTAGGCAAATCAAGGCGAAGCAGTGGCGCAGAAGGTAGTGCTGTCGCCTCACAGCAAGAAGGTCGCTGGTTTGATCCTCGGCTCATTTGGCGTTCCTGTGTGGAGTTTGCATGTTCTTCCTGCGTTCGCGTGGGTTTCCTCCGGGTGCTCCGGTTTCCCCCACAGTCCAAACACATGTGGTACAAGTGAATTGGATAGGCTGAATTGTCCATAGTGCGTGTGTGTGAATGCATGTGTGGAGGTTTCCCAGAGATGGGTTGCGGCTGGAAGGGCATCCGCTGCATAAAAAAATGTGCTGTATAAGTTGGCGGTTCATTCCGCTGTGGCGACCCCAGATTAATAAAGGGACTAAGCCGACAAGAAAATGAATGAATGAATGAATAGGCAAATCATTGTTAAACAGTGGTTTGTTCTGTAGACCAGTGTTTCTCAACCATACTCCAGGTGGATCACCAGCTCTGCAGATTTTCCATGTCTCCTTAACTAATCACACCTGATTCAGATCATCAGCTCATTAGCACAGACTGAGAGACCTGTATTGGGTGTAACGGACAAAGGAGACATCCAAAACACGCAGTGTTGGTGAGCCTTCAGGAACGTGGTTGAGAAACACAATCCAAAACAAAAATGGCTTAAGGGGGCTGATAATATTGACTTTATAATGGGTTTAAAATGATTAAAAACTGCTTTTATTCTAGCTGAAATAAAACAAGTAAGACTTTCTCCAGAAGAACAAATATTAGAGGAAATACTGTGAGAAAATCCTGAATCTGTTCAACATCATTTGGGAAATATTTGATAAGAAAAAAACACATTCACAGGAGGGCGAATGATTCTGACTGTAACTCTATGTGGATAAGTGTAGACGGAGCCAAAGTGAAAACCCAAGAGCCAGCAAACAGGGATCAGCGGGAGCGGAGGGATGGCGGGAGGGAGGGATGGGTGTGAACGAGCTGAGAAACAGGAGTGTGTCGCGGTCTGGAGGGGGTCTCGGTGTCACCAGCAGTGTGACATCTGCAGGAAGACGCACCCCTGCTGCCGACAGCACCTACACCTGGAGCTCTGCCAGCGCTCATTAAAACTTCTCTCAGTCCTCGTCCTGCAAACACCACCAAAAACTTCAGTCTAACAGCGGGACTTCTGTCTGCAGCGCTCGCACAGCTGATAGACCAACACCCAGGGGCAATGGAGACTTTTCATAAGAGTGTTGTGTTGCGTTTATCGGTCATCAGCATCTTCAATCCTTAAAAGTTTTTTTAAATGTATGTATATGTATTATTTCATCTTTGTATCAAATTACAAAAACAAATTCCCGCGTGTGTGAGGTGTATGTAGTGCAGTGTGTATGGGAGCAGGACAGTAAATCTGACATGATTCTCTCTTCTGTCTGCCGTTATCAGTCTCACACTATTGTTTTCCTCTTTCTGAAAGTCTTGATAACACCGTCCTGGAGTCTTTCAGTCATTATTTCAGCAAATAGGATTGTAAAATAATGATTTGTTGTACTCTCTCATTCGCTGTGTGCTCTTAGTTTAACAACTATGACAACTTCTGCTGCGGAGAAACATGACAATGTGAAAAAGGCTCCATTGTGTTTTCCAGTAGGGCTACCAAATTTTATCCACCCTGCATCTTAACGGGATGAAAATCAGCCCATCTTTTTTTTTTTACACAATATATTGGCTTGTTTTTCCAGTTTGCATATCTCAACAGGTTACACAGTATATAGCAATCATGTAAACACAGCAAACATTTTACAAACTGAAATTATAAACTAACTTGATTCTGATTTTGATTGTAATGTAATGACAGAGGTGAAGCAGTGGCGCAGTAGGTAGTGCTGTCGCCTCACAGCAAGAAGGTCTCTGGTTCGAGCTTCAGCTCAGTTGGCGTTTCTGTGTGGAGTTTGCATGTTCTCCCTGCCTTCGCGTGGGTACAGGTGAATTGGGTAGGCTAAATTGTCTGTAGTGTATGAGTGTGTGTGTGAATGTGTGTGTGGATGTTTCCCAGAGATGGGTTGCGGCAGGAAGGGCATCCGCTTCATAAAAACGTGCTGGATAAGTTGGCGGTTCATTCCGCTGTGGCGACCCCGGATTAATAAAGGGACTAAGCCGACAAGAAAATGAATGAATGAATGTAATAACGTGCACCTTTAGCAAAGCTGCTTTGGTATAATTCTCGTAAAAAGTGATATAAAAACAAACTTGAAGTGAACTGAAATACATTTCATTTCACTGTTGAACATTTAATCATGATGAATAGAAGTAAAAACATTTTAACGGTACTTTTGAATGGTATTGCATCAATTTCCCAAACTGACAACAACATTATTACTATTAATAGTACTACTTTTACTACTATTACCTTATTGTCATTGTATTGGATTGTTTAAAAATTCTTATTATTTTTTTTATTCTCTAGACTATATTTTATGTATATACATATTTAGTTTACATTTTATGTATAATTGCATTTATTGTAAGTTCTTTCTTAAAACTCTTGTATTAATATTATATGTTAGGCACCTAGGGTCTGATTTATATACATATATATACACATTTACATATATATATATATATACACATATACACATATACATAAATACATATATATATATATATATATATATATATATATATATATATATATATATTTACAGCAGGTAAGATTATTGCAGATGTGCATATTGTAATATTGATTCTGAAACAATATATTGTGCAGCCTTAATGTAAAATATTTATTTTTAATTATGGGCATGGCATATTTTAGGTTTAGGGATTGGGCTAATTTTTGATTTCTGATTGGCCTTTGGGCTATTTTGCTATAAAAAGCTGGCAACTCTGGTCCAGATCATCTGAGAGTGGATGAGACTCCAGCAGATCACCTGAGAGGGTTTAACTTGACACAGGCCGCCCCTACGGGTCTCTGGGGCACGTTTGGGTAAGTAAACACCCCCTAGAGATGTTCACCTGTGCAATATGCTTCACTCCCAACAGGGAGGGTTTCGACGAACAGGGGCTTGTTGAAAGACAAGATCTGCGTTTCAACAAAAATCCCCCGAGCATCTGTTCAAACTCAACACCTGTCTCCTGCATTCTCCACCACCAGGGTTTATGCAGCGTTCAGTGTGATTCTGAGGGACACTAAACAAAAGCAATGCACAGAAAAAAAGAGGAAGAAGGACAAGCTGCAGCATATCATGCATTCATTCATCCCGCTTTCATCTTCTGTTCGCTTCGCCTGGAGGACATGTGCTCCTCTTTGGCATCTCTGCCCAATCTGCCGTATTAATTGTTCATCTGTAGCGGAACAGGGGAATGCCTCGCAATATGGCACCAGTAATTATTTGTGCCAGTGTGCTGGGAGAGAATAAGCGGCCAATAATGTTTCATGTGTGCCAGTGATGGCAAACTGTTGCTGGACCGCTCTGTGTGGAGCTTCAGGGGACGTGAGATGAAATGCATGCTTAAAATAAAAAGCACAACACATAAAAGCATCCAGGAATCAGATTTTCTTGTTGCTGAAGATTAATTGCTGAAGCTTTTGTTACATATAATTATGATATTTCCTTCTTATTAAGCAGTATAATAAATAATAAAACACTTTTACTGCATTGATTTATTGTATATTCCTGGTCAGAGTAAACAAATGTTTAATATCGTTGGTTAATGCATTAAAATCAACAGTGAGAATAAGCCACACCAGAGTCCTACAAATAGTCTGAGCATTTCCAATCAATATCTGCATGTTGAAGGCAGATAACCATGTGAAAACGAAAATGTTAAGAGGAAAAGCAGAGAAGAGAAACAAAAGAAAAGAGAAAATAAAAAGAAAAAAAAGAAAAGGAAAAGAAAAAATGAAAAAGATAAGCAAAATAAAAAAGAAAAGAAAGAAAAGGAGTAAAAGAAATGGAGAAAGAAAAGGAAAAGAAAAAGATAAGTAAAAAAAGAAAAAAGAAAAGAAAGGGAGAAAATGAAAAGGAAGAAAAATCAAGAAAAAAAGAATAAAGAAAAGAAAGAAAGTAAAAAAAGGTAAAAAGAAAGGGAAAAAAGGAAAAGAAAAGGAAGAAAAGAAAGGGTAGGAAAAGCAAAAAAGAGAAGAGAAAAAAGGAAAAAGAAAAATGAAAATGAAAAAGAACAGAAAAATAAAATAAAAAAAGTAAAAAAGATAAAGAAAAGGAGAAAAGAAAAGGTAAAAAGGAAGAAAAGAAGAAAAAGAAAAAGTAAAAAAAGAGGAAGAAAAGAAAAAAGAGAAAAAAAAAGAAAAATAAAAAGGAGGAAGAAAAGAAAACAAAAAGCGATAAAGTAAAAAAGGAAAAGGAAGAAAAAAGTAAAAAAGAAAAAAGGAGGAAGAAAAGAAAAATGAACAAAAAGAAAGACAAAAATGAGGAAAAGAAGAAAAAGAAAAGGAAAAATAAAAGAAAAGAAAAAGAAAAAAGTAAAAAAGAAAAAGATAGAAAAGAGAAAGAAAATGAGGAAAAGGGAAAAAAAGACAGAAAAAAGAAAAAGATGAAAAGGAAGAAAATAAAAAGAAAAGATAAAAAAGAAAAAAGTAAAAAAGACAAGAAAGAAAAGGAAGAAAATAAAGACAAGAAATAGAAAAAGAAAAAAGAGAAAAGAAACATAAAAAGAAAAAACGAAGCAGCAAAGGGGAAAGAGACAAGAAAAAGCAAAAGGAGAAATGAAAGGAAAACACAAAAAAAGAGAAAGAAAATGAAAAGAAAAAGAGAACAGAAAAAATAATTAGAAAAGAAAACAATAGAGAAAAGGAAAAGGAAAGCCCAGAAAAGGAAAAGTTGATGTTTAAAAATAAACAAGTCTTGAAGCATTCGTGCTGTGATGAAGACCCGCTGACAGGAGCAATCTGAATACTCTATAAAGCAAGTGTTCACAGTATTCTGAAGTGCCCTTGATAGCACATGTTCATCATCACAATATACTGAAAGCCTGATCATCAGCATGTCTACAAGCACCACAGTAACAGTGTTTGTCTGTCTGTAAAGCGCAGTACAGTAGAGTATGCTGGACTCCCACCCGCTGCAGGCGAGCCCCAAAGGCCCAGTTGTTTTTTTAGAAACCGGTGCATGACATCTCGCTCACTTCAACATCCCCAAGGGCTCCAGCACACATTAAATGGCTTCAATAATAATACGCAAGGTTTTACGACTACCCATAATCCTCATTTAAGGAGAATTGAGGAAAGAGAAAACATTTCCCTTAAACACTGCTACACACGGAGGTTTAGAGCAGAACGCAAGCGTCAATATTACAGCAGATTTACACTTCAGTGTGGAGCCATCAGACTAGAGTGTAGCCCACGGCACATCCTACGACACCACGGCCAGCATGTATAGTAGATAATCATTATATTAGCAGAGGAGAGTCTTGCTTTTTATTTCCGCAAGACAGTGATGATGTTTAGCAGTCATCCGCTTCTCAAATCTGAATTTTAAACATTTATAGTGGCGGCACGGTGCTTCAGTCACCTCAAAGCAAGAAGGTCTCTGGTTTGAGTCCCGGCTGGGTCAGTTGGTGTTTCTGTGTGGAGTTTGCATGTTCTCCCTGCGTTCACTTGGGTTTCCTCTGGGTGCTCCCCCACAGTCCAAACACATGCGCTAAAGGGGAACTGATCAACTACACTGGCCGTAGTGTATAAGTGTGTGTGTAAATGAGTGTATGGGTGTTTCCCCAATGCTGGGTTACAACTGAAAGGGCATCCGCTGCATAAAATATATGCGAGAATAGTTGGCGGTTCAGTCCACTGTGATAAATCTGAGACTAAGTGGAAGAAAAATGAATGACTGCACATTTATAAAGGAATATTGGTAATAGTTCAGTTGAAGAGGGTGTTCATAAGACTGTCATTAAACCTTTATGATGGTGACTTGACAGGTCATGGATGTGAATGACGCTTTATGCATGCTTATGACAACTGTTATTAGGTGGCAATCGCTCAGTTTTGTTATCTTAAATGCAAAGATGGCATTGCTAATGACAACAAAACTTGTCATAAATCTGTCATAAACATAATTGTGTCATGAATATTTTTTGATCACGTTTCCGGTAGATCAAACTGTATTTTAGCCGGCAGCTAGCTCTCTGCAACTCTCAAATGGTCGCCCACTGAAGCTCAGCAGGGCAGCGCCTGGTCAGAACCTGGATGGGAGACCACATGGGAAAGCTGGGTTGCTGCCAGAAGTGGTGTTAGTGAGGCCAGCAGGGGGAGCATAACCTGTGGTCTGTGTGGGTCCTAATGCCCCAGTATAGTGTAGGAGACTCCGCCTTTTGGATGAGACGTTAAACCGAAAATTAAAATTTAAAAATAATATTATTAAAATATTAAAAATAATATAATTGAAAATTCCTGGATTTCCTTAGAAGAAGAAAAAAAAAAAAAAGAATAGGGGTTTCACCCCGGCACCCTGGCCAAATTTGCCAACTGGCCTCTGTCCATCATGGCCTCCTAACCTTCCCCAAATCATAATTGGCTTCATCCCTCTGTCTCCTCTCCACCAATCAGCTGGTGTGTGGTTTGCGGTCTGGCGCAATATGGCTGGATGAGGAGATCCCCCCAGTGTGTTAAGCGATTTGAGTGTGCAGAAATGGTATTATTATTAGTAGTAATAAAAATGTTTCATTAAAACTTATTCATTACTCTGTCAATAATTTTTACGAGAGTCATTAGAATTTAATGAGATTTTAATGATTAATTTAGCTTGTGATACTGCAGTTGAAGTAGAAAAAATATATTAATGACGCCGTTATAAAATTCATCACAATTATAATGGCTATAATTATGGCATTATTATATTATTATAATATATTATATAATATAATATTATATTATATATATATATATATATATATATATATAATATTATATTATATTATTATAAATTATGGCAAATTTTGTTGTGCATTTATGTCAAGCTGTATATTTACATGAGTTTTTCAATGAAATAAAAATATATATTCATATATATAAAACTGCAAGTATTTTCACAGATACTATGTAGTCATAGTGTAATATAAGTTTTTTTTTAATAAAAATTAAATAAATAAAAATTAAATAAATAAAAAAATATGCACACACACACACACACACACACATATATATATATATATATATATGTTATTTTTTTTATAAAAAATAAACAAACTATTTAAAATAAATTGCAAGTAATTATGCATTTTTTGCACTCCTATAGTGTATTTAAAATAAAAAAAATTCTAAAATTTGTATATTTTTGATATATTCATTATTTAAAATCCTTTAAAATAAATATGCTAGTTATTTTTAAATATTTTTTTTATTTAAAATATCTTTTAATAAATAAATTATAAAAATATTTTAAAAAATTACTATTTAAAATAATGCTAGTAATTATGCTATTAATTTCACAGATATTATTTAGTCAGAGTGCATTATTTAAAACGTTTTATACAAAAATAAATAACCAAAAAAATGTTTAAATAATTTAAATTAAATTTCTAGTAAATTCACAGATATTGTGTAGTTCTGGTGTAATATTTAAGATTTTATTTTTTATATTTTTATTTAAAATGTTTTTAATAAAATAAATTATTAAAAGAAAAGGCAAACAGGTCATTTAAAATAAGGGACTAGAAATTTTGCAGACATCGAATAGTTCTGGGGTATTATATCATTTTTTTTAAAAAGTAAATAATGAAAAAATATAAATAAATTAAAATAAATAGTTTAAAATAAAATGCTAGTATTTTCAATGGTATCATCCAGTCTTAATGTGAACACAATCTATTAATCAAACATTTTTTGAGGTTGGTGAGAGCGCAGTGTTTAGAGAAAGCGCAGATTTATGACCCAAGCCCCCAGAGATGTTCTCCTTCACCCAAACCCTCCCTTCGGTTTGCTCTAATTGTTTTTTGTAATCATTTTCTCCACTCTGCTATTGTGACAGGAGGCAGTTACACTCTTCCTAACGAATTAACACACACACTACCAGACAAAAGAGCCAGGATGGCGGCGAGCCCACTTTAACACAGATGGGTGCACTCTATGATGCCCTCAGTTTAACACACACACACACAGACACACACACACATTTTGAAAATGTTTCTTATGCGCAGGATCACATTACAGAAGAGACGCAGGTGTGAACGACCTCTGAGACCTCGATATCACCTCTACACACTGTAAACACACTGGCATCTGTTTCTGTGCACATTTTACACCGGTTGCATTTGCATTTACTCTGTGGGACGCCTCGCGCTGTTGTCTGCAGGAAAACATGACGATTTTTGTTTTAAAAGAAAAGGTGAAAGCAGTGATGCTTGTGTTCTCTTGACTTTCTTTCTAAATGTTAGTGGCAGGCATGCATTTTTAATGAGCCACAAATCAAATCAGTGTATTATATAATGATGATGATGATGATAATTAGGATTATAGCAATCCTCCTTCCTGTGTAGAAAAGGAAAAGAAAGAAAGAAGGAAAGAAAAGACAGAAAGAAAGAAAGAAAGAAAGAAAGAAAGAAAGAAAGAAAGAAAGAAAGAAAGAAAGAAAGAAAGAAAGAAAGAAAGAAAGAAAGAAAGAAAGAAAGAAAAGACAGAAAGAATGAAAGAAAATAAAGAAACGACAGAAAAGAAAGAAAGAAAGAAAGAAAGAAAGAAAGAAAGAAAGAAAGAAAGAAAGAAAGAAAGAAAGAAAGAAAGAAAGAAAGAAAGAACGGAAACGACAGAAAGAAAGAAACAACAAAGGAAAGAAGAAAGAAAATCAAGAAAGAAAAAAAAATCAAACAATGAAAGAAACGACAAAAAAGAAAGAAAAGAAAGAAAGAAAGAAAGAAACGACAAAAAAGAAAGAAAAAGAGAAACGACAGAAAGAAAGAAAGAAAGAAAGAAAGAAAGAAAGAAAGAAAGAAAGAAAGAAAGAAAGAAAGAAACGACAAAAGAAAGAAAAACAAGAAAGAAAAAAAAATCAAACAATGAAAGACAGAAACGACAAAAAGAAAGAAACGACAGAAAGGAGAAATGACAAAAGGCAGAAATAAGAAATAAACAACAAAAGAAAAAATAGAAATAATAAAATAAAACAAAAGAAAGAAAGAAAGAAAGAAAGAAAGAAAGAAAATATGACAAAGGACAGAAATAAGAAATAAACAACAAAAAGATAAAAAATAATAAAATAAAACAAAAGAAAGAAAGAAAAAAAAAAGGAGAAGAAAAACAGAAAGAAAGAAAAAAGCAAAGGAAAGAAATGACAAAAAAGGACAGAAGAAAAAAAAATCAAAAAAGAAAAAAGAAAGAAAGAAATTAAAAAATAATAAAAAAGAAAAAATAGAGGAAAAACAGAAAATCTAAAAAAACATTTAAAAAAATATAAAGAAAAGAAAAAAACAACACGAAAAAACAAAAACATAAAAAAAATATTTAAAAAATTAAATAAGGAAAGAAAACAAAAGAAAGAGACTAAAAGAGGTAAAGAAAGAAAAGCGGAAAAAATAAAAAAGAATAAAAAAAAGAGGACAAGCAATGAAAAAGAAAAATGAAAAAAGGAAAGAGAAAGAAAAGAATAAAAAAACGAACAAAAAGAATAAAGAAAAATAAACTAAATTAAAAAGAGAAAAGGAAAAGAGGAGGGAGAGCAACAAAATGACAAAGGAAAGAAAGAGAAAGAAGAGAAGGCTTTGAGAGGACAGACTCCTGCACTCACCCGACTGCGCAGATAATCTGCCAGGTTTTTCCTGGTGAAGTTTGCAGCGGCTGCAGGACTGAGCTCATATCCTGATGGAGGAGCAGAGAGAACAGCATCACAACACAAGACTGTCTTCAGTGCATCTACACACAACAGCCAACTACACACTTATCATTTCTTCACATAATAATCATGTTTATAATCAGACTTTCCACTTATTTGTATCACATTAATTATTATTATTAAACATTATTAACATTGATGAGGATAAGACATAAACGCTTGATTTTTTAAAATATAAATATTGTCTGGGGCTTTATATAAATATATTTATTGATATTAATATTGTATACATTTCTTTGTTCTTTTTCTTGTATACAATTCATTTATTTATTATTACCTTATATAATTTTTTGAACTTAAATTTATTTTGTATTTCTTATTTGTTTAGTATTACGATTTGTATTCTTTAAATTATGTATATTCATTTTGTATACATTTATTATTCCTTTATTATTTTTGTTATTATTTTCTCCGTTTATATTAATTTGTGTGCATTTCTTATTTCTTATTATAACGTACGACTTATTATTTATTAACTTCTAATTTCTTTATTTATTATCATTGTTAATATTTATTTGTGTGCATGTCTTAATTATTTCTTACAATGCTTACTTATCATAACGAAAATATATTTATTTTTTGCTAATTTGTTATTCCTTTATTATTATTATTTATTTTATCTATATTATTTAGCATGCATTTCTTATTATTAATATAATTTATATTTATTTTAGGAATTAATTTCTTATTTTTTAATTATTACAGTCGTATTTGACTTGCTATTTTGCATCAGTGTTGTGTAATTATTCATTGTTTGTGGAATGTTTAATAAAAAACAAAGCAAAAACAAAAGGAAACGTACAAACATTCATCCAAACTTAAGACTGAAATGAACAATCGATTACATTTTAAACACCCCTTATACTACAGACCGAATGTCTTTAAACAAAATATATGCAATTTAATAATGTTTGCAAACCATGCAAAAGCTGAAAAGGCGATGAAACACCTGATTGTGTTGCAGACAAACACACACATACACCAGTTTAGCTTCCCATACACTTCATAAATAAACATAACGCCTGTTCACACATTTCCCAGCATACCACTGCATCTCCCATATGCAAATACAGCCGTTTCATTGGTTGCCGAGCTTGACGATGTAACAAAACCAAGCACACTCAAATGTAAAACCTCATGTTTAAAGGCTGCTCGTGTGATTACTGCTTACCGTTCCTCATTTTGTAAAGCTGGACGTTCTTCTGGATGTATTCTGCAAACTGTACGGTGTCTCCGGCTTCACCCACACACAGCAGCAGGATCTTCTCACTCAGCTTGAACATCTTGTCATAATCTGGTACAAACACAAACCGTGTGTGACAAATATATTGCATTTTACTCAAAATATATCACATCTCGACTTTAATAGGAAATTCCTCTCGCTTTCTGTCTTCTTTTTTTATTTGTGATTGGCTAAACACGTATGAAACACCTGCGAAAATTCAATAATAAATGAGGGAACTCATCCTGCGCAACATCCTCATGCATAGAACTTTTGTGTTTTGGAATTGTTTGGTGTCGGACTCAAATTAATTTACCAAACATAACACTGTTTATGTCTCAATATTGATGTTTCAATCCAGCTTGCATATTATTAACAGCCTCTCACTGACTACTAAAAAAGTAAACATTGAATGCTTTAACTTAAAAATGGGGCAGCACAGTGGCTCAGTGGTCGGCACTGTGGCCTCACATCAAGAAGGTTGTTGATTCGAGCTCTGATTTGGTCAGTTGGTGTTTCTGTGTGGAGTTTGCATGTTCTCCCCGTGTTGGTGTGGGTTTCCTCCGGGTGCTCCGGTTTACCTCACAGTCCAAACACATGCGCTAAAGGGGAACTGATCAACTAAACTGGCCGCAGTGTGTGTGAATGTGTGTATGGGTGTTTCCCACTACTGGGTTGCAGCTAAAAGGGCATCCGCTGTGTAAAACATGCTGGAAAAATTGTCGGTTCATCCCGCTGTGGCAACCACTGATGAATAAAGAGACTCAGCCAAAGGAAAATGAACATAAAAATGCAGAAATTCTTTGAAATTTAATATTACTGAATAATAAATAAATAAATACGTACATACATAAACATAGCGAGTAGCAACCCATGTGATAACAAATATGAAAGCTACGTATTCAATTTAATCAACCTTTAATTAATTTCAGTGTTTCCTCTAGGATGTTTTCCAGGCCTTTTTGTACACAGATCTACCAAATACCTGTGGCGTTATCAATGAAACATGTCGTGAGCGCAGTATTAGATGTCGAGATCGCATTTATGTATTAACCTACACGTACGAGCATGTCAATCTCTGCTTGTGCGCCGATTTCCTCTGCTCGTGCACAAAGCTTCTTGCACACCACCTCAAATATAAGCCGATTCAAGAGCGCGCAGATCTTGTGCCATCTCAAACACAACGCTGCTGAGTGCGATTTAGTGTGTTTATGTAACGAGTATGTCTCCAGCATTTATTAGATTTGCTAGGAATGCTTATAAATGTCTCTATATAGACCTAGAGAGTAGCATTAATGCGTCCTGAAGTAAAGTGAAACGGCTATACGTCGTGTTTGCTGGCCTCACGCACCTGTCAGTCAGTTGGCACGTCACCTTAAAGGGTTAAACAAATGAAGCACAGCACCTACTGCGGTTACAGAAAAGTTTGCGCTGTTATAATTCACTTACCCTTTAATATGTTTTGGTGCGATTATCACCCGCTATTAATAAAACAAAATGTTTTGAATGAGAAGCTGGAATGTAGCTGTGGCGGGATGAATTTTGTCATGGCGCCCTGCCATGGTAGTAAGGACTAAATAAGGACTAAATATCTGTTGTGTGTAGTTCTTCTGTAGTTGGTAACATATCGAAGACTGTAAGGGGCTGTGTGTGTTCATATATGTTGCATTTATATATTGATTTAATATAATTACAGACATTACACTAGGCTATTTTGCACTGTCATTGAACTGCAGTTATAAATAACTTATGTTCATAGAAAAGTTAGTAATAAACATTTTTACAGAAGTATTTATGTGTATGAAGCATCTGTGTTGTGAGAAGTGCTCCTCATATATGTAAATGACCTGTACAGCTTTACTGTAGACATTTTCTCGAGAGAGGATGATGTCGACTGAAACTTTGTCATACAACATGCCTGACAAAAGGGTAGTAGAAACACAAGCCTGATAAAGGTGACCCGTACCGACCCGAACCGTGCTGTAACAGTTAGTGAAAATGAGCCATAAAACTGGCATCAATACCGTTCCTAAGGTATGTGTATGAATTTTTACTTAATTTTTTTTTGTTTGTTTTTTAGGACAGTATCACCAGCAGAAAAAAATCCAAAGATGCCGTTTAAAATTATAATGAAATCTGTGTTTTTGAAACAAATGAAGACAGCAGAAGTCAATGATTGTTTTGACTTATTTAGCCTGACATGTTTACGGCTCCAAAATATAATAAATCTTTCAAAAAATAAAATATATTGTTTTTAAAGGGGGAAAAAAGTTGTCGTTTTAACCCAGGGATTTAAAAAGAATCTATTTTAAAGAAGTGAGCACAATACTGTGAAACCATAATATTTTTATGCAAGGTTATCATACCGTCAAGACCTTACACCAGCCCATGCCTAGTCTGTTCTTTAATGTCTCTGATCAAAAGTGGATCTAGATGTGTTAATAAAGTAAATAAGATTCACATAAAGTGTGTGGGGGGGGGGGGGGGGGGGGGATAATTAGAGAGAGAGAGAGAATCTGCCAATAGCCTTCAGTTTCATTAACATCATTTGCAGTTGCTGTCAGAAGTTGGTCTCTGACTCTCTGTTGAGCATTTGATTAGACAATGCATTCATTCAATTTCATGTCAAATTGATCTGTTACTTCTCGCTGCATATAAATAGACCTTACATTTCTAATTATGTTACGATGACACACACACATAAGCAGATTATGTCGATTTACTTTCACTTTCACAAATGAATCGCAAACTCATCCTCAACAGTCGAGGACCTAAACATCCCCAATCCTGATGAGTTGATCCTAAAGCAGGTTAAAATACAGTCGAAATGAAGTTTATTTACATTAAAAACTTATATTTGAATATTTTTGTAAATCAGTTCCACGCAAAAACTGCTTTAGCGGACATTAGCAACCTAGCCTGAAACTGCTGTAAACTCCATAGAAGAGAGGAGAACACTGACAAGCAAATACAGAGAAGCATTAAAAGAGTGAAATGTGTGTATTTAGAGCAGTGTACAACATTAGTTTTGGTAAACATGCGTTGCGTTATTCTGCTGCTGTCTGAGCGGTTAGCTTGATGCTAATATGCTAACTCACCGTGCTTCATCTGGATTATACTGCTCGCCGCGACGTTATCAGCCGCCACCAGCACAAAGTCTGGTCCCTGAATCCCGATCAAATACTCCATACTGCGGACTGAGTTTAAAGTGGATTTAACAAACTCTATTCACTCAGTGGACTAGCAGTGCAGCTCTGTCAGATATTACACAGCAAAAGCAGAATGGAAGAGCGGCGGCGGCGCGCGGTTTACACGTCATCACAGAGATGTCACGTGACGCAGGAGTTGCTGCTGCGGCCAGAAGTTACCGATATTTACTTATATTTATTTATTGAAATTAAATTAAAACACTAAATATGCCGAGTATTATTCATATTGTTTATTAATTTACATATTAATTGTATTTTATTAACGTCTACCTTTACCCCAACCCTCACAGTAATGTAAAAACAGAGGGTATTATTTATATTATTTATTAAATTACCAATTAAATAGTATTTTTTTAACATCTAACCCTACCCTAACCCTCACAGTAATACAAAAAGATTATTGTTGTACAGTGTCACAAAAATTATGATGCATCTGCAGCTGTATCCCTTCTAGACTTTACCCTTTCAGGATATTGTAAGATTTACAATATTAGGCTCATTATTAAATCCTAACAAATCCTTTTGGCATACTTAAACATGTTATATAAATATATTATAATCCTATTATATATTATTAATTATTTGCCACCATTCACACATTTGCGTTTTGACAATTTCAATAAGAATCAGATTTGGTATTATTTCTTATTCTCTGACATTTGAATTAGCAAATTCAGAATGAGCTTTTGCTTTATGTTAACAAAAACATATACAGTATGTTACACTGGATAACAGTGGACATTATGCCCTCCATGTTTTGATTTTGTTCACAAAACCTATTTGCATTTTATCTGATGTGGTTCCTAATTTGTGGGTAAATTTGCACCACGTCACTTTATGAGTTTATTTGTGATAGCATAATTGTGTTATGAGGAAAACTAATGGAAAGTTTATATGCAATATAAAAGAATAATTTAAAAATACTTAAGAGTTAAATTTAGCCCTATACACACACAAACACCACAGTTTTTCAGCAGTTTGTTGATTTCATGTGAAAGCAGAACCAATGTATGAAAAAATCCCAGAGTAATGTATCATGTATAACGTCTTTCTTAATGCATCATCCAGCCTAGTATCATAGTGAACCGATAAACTGTAAGAAATACTGCTTTAGCTGTAATACAGTGGTATTGTAGTATAATACACCCTATAGCTATAGAGAAATACAGTATTTGGTCATTTTTTGAGATGGGTCTGGCTGCAGACCTGGTGCAGTGCAGTCTGGGCTGCATCCGATGCTTTTTAATGGGCTCACCTAACCCCACCCCTAACCCTACCCGTCACAGTGATGTCACTAGCTCCATTTAAGTGCACTGTGTCTGACATTGCATCGCTGAGTGATGCAGTCTCAGCTTGCATCAGAAAGACTGAATCCAGATACTATTGCATTTTTTAGTTTTAGCAACTGTAGAATCACCACAACAAATCAATTACTATAGTTGTTGTGTTACCATAGCAACTGTAGAATCACCACAACAGATCAGTTATTATAGTTGTTGTGTTACCATAGCAACTGTAGAATCACCACAACAGATCAATGACTGTAGTTGTTGTGTTACCATAGCAACTGTAGAATCACCACAACAGATCAGTTACTATAGTCGTTGTGTTACCATAGCAACTGTAGAATCACCGCAACAGATCAATTACTGTAGTTGTTATGTTACCATAGCAACTGTAGAATCACCACAACAGATCAATTACTATAGTTCTGTTACCATAGCAACTGTAGAATCACCACAACAGATCAGTTACTATAGTTGTTGTGTTACCATAGCAACTGTAGAATCACCGCAACAGATCAATTACTGTAGTTGTTATGTTACCATAGCAACTGTAGAATCACCACAACAGATAAATTACTATAGTTGTGTTATCATAGCAACTGCAGAATCACCACAACAGATCAGTTATTATAGTTGTTGTGTTACCATAGCAACTGTAGAATCACCACAACAGATCAATGACTGTAGTTGTTGTGTTACCATAGCAACTGTAGAATCACCACAACAGATCAGTTACTATAGTTTTGTTACCATAGCAACTGTAGAATCACCACAACAGATCAATTACTATAGTTCTGTTACCATAGCAACTGTAGAATCACCACAACAGATCAGTTACTATAGTTGTTGTGTTACCATAGCAACTGTAGAATCACCGCAACAGATCAATTACTGTAGTTGTTATGTTACCATAGCAACTGTAGAATCACCACAACAGATCAATTACTATACATAGAAATCACAGCTTTTAAATCATTCCCAAAATGTCAAGATATATAATTTTGTTGCATGGTTTGCAGGACGTCACGGTGGCGCAGCGGGTAGCACAATCGCCTCAAAGTAAGAAGGTCGCTGGTTCAGGCCTCGGCTGGGTCAGTTGGTGTTTCTGTGTGGAGTTTGCATGTTCTCCCCGTGTTGGTGTGGGTTTCCTCCGGGTGCTCCGGTTTACCCCACAGTCTAAACACATGCGCTCTGGGGGAATTGATTAACTAAACTGGCTGTAGTGTATGAGTGTGTGTGAATGAGAGTTTATGGATGTTTCCCAGTGATAGGTTGCAGCTGAAAGGGCATCCACTGCATTAAACATATGCTGGATAAATTGGTGGTTCATTACGCTGTGGCGACCCCTGATGAATAAATTGACTAAGCTGAAAAGAAAATGAATGAATGAAATGATGTTCAATTGTCATATACAGCATAATATCTATGTCAAAAGCAAACATTATTCTGCATTCGAAACAATTCTGGGTTATTTAATGTTTTTATTGGGTAACATATGGACAAACTAATCTGATGGGTAATTTCTTTTTTATTTTATATATTGAATATATATATATATATATATATATATAAACCCATTTTAAACCCAGTGGTTGGGTTTCACCCAAATGTAACTTGAAATAAGGCATCATTTTTGATCCATTGTACTAATAAGACATGTTTTTAAATGATTAACAATCCTGTTGTCAAATGAATAAAAATGGACAGAGCCAAAATATGAAGATTTCAGACGACAATTAATCAGTGTTTTATTATTATTAATATCCCCAGAAGTCTTTTAATCCTTAAAGTCTGTTTTAAATCACAGTATATATAATAAAACGTGATTATTTTGTCCTCATAAGGACAGGGCACACTCTTAAAATCAGCACTTTTAGAGTGCAATAACAAACTTGAAGCAATATAACAGTTGCTTTGCTTTAATGCATGACTCTATATCGCTTCACCATAGCGATGGACAGATGGACGGTTATGGGATGGAATATGTTTCATGCATGTGATGAAAGTATTTCTCGGTCTCCATCTCCTCTCTCTTTCAGCAGTTGTCACCGGTTCAGCCTGACTGCTTCGTTAGGACTCATCATTTGCATTCAGATTAATTATCTAATTACCGACAAATGTCCGGCGGCCACCCCGCACTCCGGCTCGTCAGCTCTGCGCCTGTAATTATTTTAATCATTTACTTTCATCTGGAGTGTTCCTGCCATACTTCTGTGTTTAGAGGCCATTCTTAATTACCCTGCCAAGACACTCTTCCCCTCGTTTCATGTGAGGAAAAAGGGGCAGAGAGAGAGACAGAGAGAGAGAGAGAGAAAGAGAGAGAGAGAGAGAGAGAGGGAGGGAGCCCAATGGGGACAAAATCCAGGAATCTTGACAGCATCATAAAGGCTTGGAGCTCTGCTTGTTCACTGTTTTCCCCTTTTAACTTCAGTCTCTCTCTCTCTCTCTCTCTCTCTGTTTCTCTCTATGTCTGACGCCCCCACCCTCCGCCAACACACATCTTTCTCAACTATTCCTCTCTCTCTCTCTCTCTCTCTCTCTCTCTCTCTCTCTCTCTCCACACCCTCCCTCACTTCCTCCAGTTCCCCCTTTATCGCATGCACACACAGGAATCGCCTCCGGGCCCCAGTGCTCTGACTGCTAATACACTCACACACACACACACACACACACACACACACACACACACACACACACACACACACACACACACACACACACACACACACATACATACATACATACACATATATACACACAAACACACTTTAACTCACACACACACACACATATACACATACAAACAGATACGCACACACACTAAACACATATACACAGAAATATATACACACAAACAAACTCAAACACACACACACACACACACACATACATACACATATATATATACACACAAACAAACTCAAACACACACACACACGCACACACACACACATATACACATACAAACAGATACGCGCACACACACACTCAACACATATACACAGAAATATATACACACAAACAAACTCAAACACACACACACACACACACACACACACACACACACATACATACACATATATACACACACAAACACACTTTAACTCACACACACACACATATACACATACAAACAGATACGCACACACACTCAACACATATACACAGAAATATATACACACAAACTCAAACACAAACATACATATATGCACACATATATATACACATAAACACACACACACATACGCACACACAAATGTACACACAAACACATTCAAATCCAGTCACACACACAGACAGACGTACTGTATATACACATACGCGCACACACATACACACAAGCCTACACACACACAAACAAACACAGACTCACACACACACACACATACCTACACATTTATATACATATATACACACATATATACACACAAACACACTCTAACTCACACACGCATACACAGAAATATATACACACAAACACACACACACACACACATACACAAACTCACACAGACACACACACATATCCACAGAAATATATACACACAAACACACACACTCACTCAAACACACGCACATATACACACAAACTCTCACACACACGCACACACACACGCACACGTGTTGGTTTTTGTGGTTTACGAGGACTCTTGTTGTATTATTTATACAAATTTGTCCTCATAAGCTAACAAAGACAAGTACACAAAAACACACAGACACACACTCTCTCTCTCTCTCTCTCTCACACACACACACACACACTA